GTGAAAGTTGTGGAGTAAATGGAGGTGTCTTTTGTTTCGCCGGAATCCCTGGAATGTTCCAGGTTGACTATCATTTAAAGCTTAAGACTTTGCTAGAAACACGTATTTACGAATTGCAAAGCGTTGTTCGTGTTTGCTATTTTAGCATTTCTCTGACCCGCAGATACTTTTCCTTGGTGAAGGTACGGAATGGGCTACTGAAATCACTTCTCATAATCAGTGTTATCTGCCTGGTTTTTCCAATTATTAATTCAGACTTAGTTATGAACCCTGTTCTCTAGTTCGGAGTCTTCGTGGAATTTCGGTTATTACGGTTACTCCTCTCGCCATGCGATGATTGAGATGAACGAGTTTCCACGTGTTTAAGAAACTTTTACTGGACTCGTATTGATGTCACTTGTTTTCATGACGATTGCAATACCTTTTTGCATTCTGCGCGCTTTTCTGAAACACCTTTACTCTACCTCATGCAAACCTGTTCTCTTTCAATGTCGTTCGTGCTACCGATGGCATTGCTTGCTTCCTGGAGGCCGAATAACTGTTGTTAAAGCCTACATTCTTAGACCTGAGAAAAATTTCATTTTGGTACGCAGTCATGGTCAGTAAATGAATTTGAAAAACCTTTTTGTACTCGATAAGAGAATATCATGTATCGTTGCATTTCGCCCTTGTGATCTGAAGTTGTCCTCCTTCATGCTTTGAATGTTTGACACTAGTCTCTGGGTAGTGACCTGTATGCTTCTCTTGGCATTGGTGGGTCAAAAACCGATTTGGCTAGGAGTAATTTTTTTGCATTTCTGAACAAGAAGGATAGGTTGTTTGACTGCAAATTTATGCACTTAGTTAGTCACTTTCTTATTCCAAATAATTGGTGCATGCACCTCCACACAAAGAAAATGAGATTCCTCTCAACAGAACTTTCATTCCCTTGACTGTCAGTTATAACTTAGCGGCAAAAACCCGCAAATTATTCGTTGAATCCTTATAGCCTTCTGTGAGATAAAAGACTCAGAAGAATCTCTTGATGCAGGACTTGGTACTGCACGTTGAATCCGTCGGTTCTAAGAACACGTGAAAAAAAGAAAAAAAGAAGGGAATGTCCTAATATTTAATGGAGGTTATGAAAGCTCGGTAGAATTGATCTAAAAAAATGGTTAAAATAATTTCGGCTTCAATCTAAAGGAATGGCGTCTTGAGATTCCTGTGGTTAGGGGCGAAGGTGGGAAAAAGTGCGTGCTCTCTTTCCGTATTTATGTTCGATTCAAGCCTGTAAGATGTGCTCCCCTCTTCTCTGCAGAAAGCCGTCAGCCGCTATGAAACTTTGATTGGTAGTTGCGCAAAGCTCTCCATTCATCCTCGTCGCTACATACCCCGCATATTCAACGACGCTGAAGTCGATCTAAATTTAACACGTATGGCCCAGAGATACTACCAATCTGCTCAGCTCAAGGTCTCTTACCCGGACTCTTATTCAGCAGAGTCGCTGGAGCATCACTTTTCCCAATTCCCTGGCTATTTTGTCAGGGCGAACTCCAAAATGGCTATTTCTCACATCCACTTGGGAGTTCGTCGGCTGGGGAGGCCGTGGCCCAATGCTGAAATGAATGAGTCATGTGAGTGACTTACTTGAATATTCCTTACCTCTCGGTGTGGATTCAATGCTATTGCGAGGAGGATTTCCATTATCTCACGGTAGACCAAAGTAACTATAGACAGTGACACCAAGTTACTCAACATTTTTGCTTCGGTTGTATTGGCGAAAACGACGAATATCGATGCATTTGGATCAGATTAGAGCGCTTCTAATTTATGATAGTGTCTAGTAGAGATTTATAGTCTCCATTTCCTGTGTGTAAAACAAACTACATTTGAAGGAGTTTGGTTTGGGCGAAAATACTAACCGGATCACTCAAAGGAAAGGAACACAATTTTCCCTAGTCGTGCCGTGAAATCTTTTGCATTCAGAACAGGATAGCAGGCAATATTTCAAGACATGTCTTACCTATTGTCGGGGCGATTTTCAAAGGTTGATAAGTATCTGATAGGCCTTCAGTAGCTGGTATCTTCAAGCTCGACAATGTCAACTCCAGAGTTTACGCGCGAAAGTTTGTGTCGTATGGGAACTAATTCCATCCTCCGTTAATGTTGAGCAAGCACTAGAGTTATTCTTAAAAATATGAGTCGGAGGTCATTGTACATTCACTTCACTCCATCCTGACCTCGGTTCAGGTACTTTCATTAAATTACAATCCGATTTTTTTCCCCTTTTGCAGATTTGCTAATCGCGGTATCCTCGGGCATAAAAATTCTGGCAGAGGAGGTTTGGGGCGCCATTCGCGGCCTTGAGACTCTAAGTCAGCTTTTGTGGTGCTCTCCGAGTGGAGCCACAGTACTTTACCTCTTTCTTGTATAAAAATTGCATTCATCGATGACCTTCTAATTATCTTTCCTAACTTATATACCTTCAACGCGATTTAATCTGTTATAGAATTTGTGATACCTATTTTGGTGCAAAAAATTAACTTACCACGAAACGATTTGTTCCTGGGAGAAGCTTTTAGCGAGACCTTGGTACTGTCAAAAGCGTCGATTAGGCTCAACTTCAGTGAGTCTAGGGCCTACGTGAACAGGACGAACTTCAAACAATGAATGCATGTAGATAAACAGTTCTTTTTTGAACTCTTAAAAATCTCCCCATAGGGCATTTGACAGGCAGGCTGTTCCACTGTTTCTTGAGTCCTAGTTAAAGACATGCTGAACTGTTCTTGATTCTTTGAGGAAAATTTTTTTTGCATTCTTTATATATGGCTTGTCAGATTTCTCATCTGCTTTCGGACTTCGCTTGCTTATTTCTTTT